CCTGAAAAATTGAAAAAGTGAGAAAAAAAGTGTAAAGCAAATACTGACTAAAGACTGTAACAAACTTTTAGGCTCTGGAGGGCCCTAGAGTGCAGCGTTTAGACAAATAAAAATGCAAAAATCTTCTCGCTCCGGAGATACGCTCCCCCGCATAATATCCTTCGAAGTGTACAGTAAATATTCTAGAAAAGTAAAGTGTGAAAAGGTATATTGCTTATTTTTATACTATTCTTTTGCTAATTAAAGTATGTAATTTGTTAATACAACAAAACTTCAAAAACCTGTGAGGGGATAGTCACTTCCGTAACCTCTATCCCTCTCGTTCTCTTTGCTCCCTCGCCTTGGCGTAATGATGAGGGGGGGGGGGGCTTGGGGGCAGTTGCCCTCTAATAAAATTCAAACTTTATTTCTAACTCGATACCAGTGATTTACAAATGTTGCTGAAATGGCACGGTTTTTCCCTGAGCTTCTGGGGGCTCTGCCCCCTGGACCCCACCAAGGGCCCTATGGCTGGCGCCCCTGTTTGCTCATCTGACCGTGATTGAATGCGTAAAACCCTGAGCTTCCGGGGGATCTGCCCCCTGGACCCCACCAGGGGCTCTAATACGAGCCCCTGGATGCTCATTTGACCGTTATTAAATGCTTAAAACCCCTGAGCTTCATGGGCCTACGCCCCTGGACCACACGCCAATTTACGCTCCACTTGCTATGCTCGCTTTGCTCTACCTAATAAAATGCTTTAGCCTCCCCCTCTATGAAAAACGTTCCGCGAGGCCTGCATGTACAATGTTAGAGTAGGGATGCGGATTTTTTTCTCCCCCCAACGTTTTTATTCAATATACGCCACTGCTCCCCCGTCCCTCGCATTTCGCCCCCCCCCCCCCCCTCCGGTCATGAAAAGAAATCGCCACCTCTGCATGCAGGCGTAAAATGGTAAAATTTGACTAAACGCCAAAAAGTACAACCAACAACATAGGCTGTTATCTTTAATAATTAGGCAAAGAAGCGAGAAAAAAAGAAGAAAACTAATGTCTTGTCTACTACGCCAATACAAATTCTGTAAAGCATTTGCAAAATTTGTGCGACAAGGGAGTATGTGCATCTCGTATTGCTTCAATGCAATTCAAACTTCTGAACTGTGATGAGAGTAAACACCGATATAAGGTTAAGCCTACATGATTATTGAACTTGATGATCTTCTTTTGAAATCTTTATTTCGTTAAAATAATTATAGCGTTAGGGATAGGGTTGGTATTGGGAAATTAAATCGTGCATTTCCTATGTTGAAGAGTAATTTAGGATGGCACTTTGTTCATGTTTTAAGTAAATAAAACAATAGAAGTGAACATGTAATTTATATTTCTGTCAACCTCACATTAGAGTTTTGAAGTTGATTGTTATGTTTTTGCCCTTTCGGAGATCATTTACCATTTAACTCTTCGTACTGCCTTAATCTGAACGATGCAGGTTGTAACGTGTGCATGCTCCCACCCCTCCCCCTTCTCTTTCTCCTTCTTATTCCCCTCTTTAGTTCTCTCTTCCGTACTCTCTCTCCCCCTCTTTAGATCTCTCTACATCTCTCTCTCTCTCTCTCTCTCTCTCTTTCTGTCTTTCTCTCTATTTCTATCTCCATTCTCCCTCCTTCTTTTTTAATACTTTTCTCTTCAATACACACAAACATCTCTCGCAAATTCTCCTCTCTGTTACATGTAGTGTCATTTATGGGTAAATCCCCTCCCCCTTCAAACCCGCATAATCTGCCACTAACCAATTTTCAAGTCGAGGGTGAAAGCTATGTCCCATCCCTACGGTGTTAAATACATGCCTGTACCCGTTGATGACAATGGGTTACATTATAACGGTATAATAATTATACCCTCCCCGCACCTTGATTAACTTTCGAAAACACTTTACGCAGAGAGAGATATCAACGCCAGACGTTTATTCCAATAATTTATTAAAGATTTTGTTGCAAACTATTTGATTCTCTTGCAAGTAAAATTATATTGAGCTGATGAACGATCTGGTAGAGAAACACACATTAGTAATTTGTTGAGAAAGACAAAGAAATGGTATAAGTAGCTTACATATTCGCAAGAAGAAAAAAAGTCTTGTCACTTCATTTCTTACATAATTTTCAGAGTATCATATACATACATTTTCCCCGCCATTGTGATATATATGATGACAAGTGTATATGACTTAACATATAAAATATCATTTCTAGGTTCAACTAAATTTGTCAAGTGCTATACAGAAAAAACATAAATTTGCAATTTTGAGGATACACAAAACACAAGAGTCGCTTGATTTAGGCTGCCAGCTAAGCCCACATAATATTTTGCCCGCAGATACGCCTGCATACTGTACATGCGATTATTGTTAGTTACATTCAATGCGAAGAGCATTTCTGTTCATACACATTACTAACGATTGATGTAACAAGCGCATAGTGTTCATCTATTTTTTTAAACATATCAAGAACTTACGGAAGTTCTTTTCATTGTGAATATTTGCAGTGTATGACTACATCTATGTACAGCCAAATGAGTTTCTGCTGGTAATAAGCCAACTGGTAATATGTTTTCACCATATTGGCTTACATTTACACCATGTCTAAGTAAGTCTTCTTATGTAATCTGTGTATTTTTCCGTTTAAACTAAACATTTAAAAAATATTATTTTAGGAACAGTAAGGTCGGAATAGCAATAGCAGTAAGGTCGGAATATCAAAGACGGTACTATGGAAAACGACATAAAATTTATCGTATGACTGCGGAAAAGATGAAATGGATGAAATCAGAATTATAATCCCAACAATTACAAAGAACATTATTATATATCTTAGGAAAACATGTAGCAAATAATATACAGCAATACAATGTCATAATGGTAGGTACCTGGTATGCTTTCACCACGGTATAATAGGTTTTAGAAGAGATGCTCTTAAAATAAATTCATGATATAATTTTTTTAAACAATCTCTTTTTTTTCTTTTGTTGTAATTTTCTTTTAATTTTACATGCATTCAAAACATTAACAAAACAGTTACAGATAACAAAAAAAAAAAAAAAAAAAAAAAAAAAAAAAAAAAAAAAAAAAAAAAAAAATCGTTTTTTAGATCTGGTTAAGCAACAATCTAAACAAAAATCGAGAGGTGATTGTGTTTCACATAGACAGTGTTGTATACCTTAGTTTTACGGCATCACCAACATGAGGAGGAAATTGACTCAATCAGTCTTGATGAAAGTCACATGCTCAACCCACACGGACGCACACATACACACACACGCACACGCGCAAGAAAGTTTGGTCCGATTTATTTAGCTATATCTTGTCATATTTCCAATTCGAAGAATTTAAATATGCATTTTTGTTCTTTGTTATATGCAATTTTAGGTGCAACGCATATTAATTTTTAGTGAGTGTAGGTCATCTATTTCCTTTGTTGATCGATTCGTCTAATATTTCATATCCTTACGGTGTACATCGATTGGCCTATATTTCGTCCCACAAAAGACTGCCCATGGGGTCTAGTCGTCAAATGTCCACGTAGTTTAAATGCCATCGACTACATGATTTAGAATGACGCTATAGGTTGTTACATTAGACAAAAATTACTTTATACTTAATCGCGGACAATACATTTTGTATAATGGCCACGATAAAATGTAGAACAAATCGATAATATTTCTAACAGACACCTAGAAAACGACAAGTATACCAGGCGCATCAAAGACCAAGACTATATGAGACCGAATACAAGAATAGAAACAGGTTATATATACATAGACAAGGTTGGACAAACTGGAAATGGCCCGAATGATAACCAACCAGCCTTAATATACATATACGTTCAGTACGTCTAGATATACACGTACGTGGAAAAATGTTTAAAAACAGAGACAAACAAAACCGTAAAGAAACTGTGATAGATATGCTTATGTACAGAGTGTTGTGTATTATACAATCAATGTTTATACTCTTTATTTAAGTTATTCATTATTTCATATTCATTATTCATTCATTGACTTCGTTATTCTTTCATGTATTCGTCTCTTTACTGATCTATTGCAAAATGGCGGTAGATACATAAATAACAACGAGCGTTGCAGCTTTTTTAATGGAAATGATTCGATTCTTCTGATTCATATACAGATTTCCTTTAAAATATACAATGAAATTTAAAAGATTAATATTATAAGATTGATCAAACCTAATATTTTTTGACAGATTAAGATACAAGAATAAATTAAAATTGCTCCGGTTTTAATATCAGACTCTTGTATAACTACTATACTAGAATTGATTTAATTGCTATATCCAGTTATCTTGCCAAAAACAAAAATCATATCTACATTAAAAAAACATCACGCTCTGCATGCTATACTTGTAATATTTCAACAATTCACATTGTTGAAATTATATATGCGGTGTTTGGATGCAATATGGTTTACTTAATGGTCATAAAGGTTATGTATATTACTCTTTTCAACCATCCAGGCATTAGATAATATATATAAAAAAGTCAGCTAGATTATTTTTTTCGCCTACGACGTTGGACGTCCGCAGACGCTTCATCAGGCCGACCGTGCCGACGTTCCTCGACCACGTCACCGTGTTCATGGGTCAACAATCATTTGACACTAAAGACCAGTCGCCCTGATGAAGGGTCCCGGAGTGGATCGTAAACGCCGCTAGCTAAAATAATGTAAGTAAACCTGACATAATGAAGATTATCTGGTGATTCCTTATAAACTGAATGCTTTCTGGGAAGCATCCATTACTATCTTTACCAGGAAAATTAGCAATATTTTCTCTGGGGATGTATCAGTAAGAACGAGTTGAGAAATCAGATCTTCTTCGTTACTTATGATTCCGCCTACATGGCTTGTATCCAAGGTGGTGGATTCCTCGTTGGGTTTCCCACCATAAGATACCAGAGGGGTACTCTCAGACATGTCTTCAGGTAGGACTTGTATTTCATGGCTTGGCGATTGTTAAGGTTGTATGCTACTAACGTTGTTCATATCTTCTCCAGGATGAACTTCTTCTGAGGACACTTCTTCAGAAGTCACTTCAGATTCATCCAAGTCCTCTGTACTGCGCTCCGGCGATTGGTCAATATGTTGACTCCTACTACCATCTGTCACGTTCTCCTGTGCTTTGGCAGCCATGTTTCCTGTATGACTATCTCGAGGAGTGTGGTTACTGATTGCTGTAGCTCCCTGAAGTACCTGGATGTCAGTGTGTCTTTTGGTCCGGTCCTGTTCTAGAGAGGTGTCATCTGTATTAGAGAGTTGCTGATCATTGTCGTCTTCGTTGGCACATTCCGAATCGATCTGTCCTTCTGCTACACCTGACCGGCAGCAAGAAAGAAAAGAAATAATTGTTTTTTTTTTCTTCATCTCAATTGACATCAAATCGGAATTATCATAATTGTGTAGAACTTATCGCATTGAATTTCAAATTTCTTGTATTTTTATAGTAGTAGAAGAGAACTTGGTGTTACTAGTCAGCATCTGTTTGGATTTTTGTGTGTGCACAGCTATTTTTTCTGCATTACGTCACCTTGGTTTCTAAACACATGGGCCGTATTGTACACCAACTATAACAGTATGTTGCTGAAGTGTTGAATGGGGTCCTTATTACGAAACTGCAATCGTTATTAATGAAAATAAACTTTACCTTCGCTGAGATACAGGTCTGCAAGGTTGACCAACTTGGCAGCGTGCAGTGCCTTCGTAAGCTCAATTCGTTCATCTTCCCTGGACACACCTCTTCTCCATTGTTTCAGTATATGGCGAGTTCCATCACTGGTAACTCGGTTGAACTTCACATTGGTCATGAGCGCTCTCTGTATATCACCATGTAGGATTCCCAGCTGACCAGCAAGGCTGTCGATCTTGGCTTCATCGTAAAGATCGTCAGCTATCTGCTGTAATATGCCTGCAAACTCATCATCTGGGGGCTCCTCTCTAGAATGGTACACGGTAATAAAAAGACAAACATGGGGCGGTCATAGAACGTGGGTATGACGTATACACTTAAAAAGTAATTTAAATTTTTACTTAGGTGGAAGATAATGGATAAAAAAACGTTCTTCCGGTGATGAGACCATGTTCAACATTCCCATATTATTGATATAAATTCATTAAAAGATTTCATATTTTGACTCTAATCACCATAGATTGGAATGCAGTTAAGATCCTCTTTTTTTTTAAATGAATTTTTAATTTTGTATTCACTTCTTTTTCTATATAATTACAGGTGGTCATGAAATTTCCTAACATGATTTTGAAATCATAGAACATAAGTGCTGTCGTACTTTTAGAACTGTTACTGACAGCATCACTCATTTTACACACAAAAGTACATTCCATAGTAGTTTTGTCAGTATAAGATGAATAATGCGTTCATTGTCATGTAAAGAGTATATATATATATATATATATATATATCATCTCACCCTGATTGTAATGTATCACTCCTTCCTAGTCCTCCGGTTGAATTATCCTCAAATGATGATTTGTCTTTGATGACGGAAAGGAATGAAGTCAGTTTGAATGAAGAAAACAAAATAAAAGAAATGTTTTGAATGATCTGTATCGTTGACTGTATCTCTATGAGTTTGTTTAACTTCTAAAGTGTAAATAATGCACAAGGATTACATATCTCTAGTTTCCTTGAATAATGTAATCGAATGGCGTTAATTTTGGCATAATGACAGCAAAAACAAACAAGAAACGATTAAGGACCATTATTGACTGTGATTAGTTCGATATTCAAAGTAGCAAAAAACGGAATATGGAGCTATAAAAACCATGTTAGACTTAATAAAAAGCTTCACATTATGAATATTTGAAAAAGTGGCCAAAAATGAAATGGGAGTTAAATAGTAAAATGTATTTTTTTTAAAGGTTGAATAGACATTATAAGAGTGGAAAATAATGTCTTACCACCTTGAGCTTGTTTTCCAGAAATCATCCAATGAATTAAACTCCAGTCATGTGTCTCTGCTTTCTTCTTCTGCTCTGCTGCTCGCATCTCACTTTCTAGTTGAATTTTGGTTCTCAGCTTCCAGATCTCACGCTCAAGTTGCTCCAAAAGCTGTTCCTTTGAGTCATGCTCCTTCTTCCAGCTTAATTCTATTGATCGTATGTCCTTCTCAGCTCTTGCTCTGTCTTCCTCTTTTCCTTTCCTTAGCTCTTCAACTTGTTTTGTTAGAGTCGTCTCATTTCGCTCTTTCTCCCCTACGGTTTCTGTCAAAGTGTCTACATGCTGTTGCTTAGACTCGAGTTTCTTCGTCATATCTGCTGCTAATGAGCGCTTGTCTTTTTCAGCTCTTGCTCTGTCTTCCTCTCTCCCTTTCTTTAGCTCTTCAACTTGCTGTCTTAGAGTCGTCTCATTTCGCTCTTTCTCCCTTACGGTTTCTGTCAAAGTGTCCACATGCTGTTGCTTAGACGCGAGTTTCTTCGTCATTTCTGCTGACAGTGACTGCTTCTCTTTCTCAGCTCTTTCCTTTTCGTCATCCTTTTCGGTCTGTAGTCGCTCAACCTCACGTCTTGCCGTCTTTTCTGTCTCCTGTAAGTTTTCCACGATTGTTTCGATGTGCAGCTCTTTTGATTTTAGTTTCTTCTCCAGCTCTAGCTCTCTTTGCTTGTACATCTCCATAGCGTGCTTTGCAATTTTCTCATTTTCACTCAAAGACATTTCAAATTGCTGTAGCTTTTCTTTTTCGCGTACCATCTCGCTTTTAAGTATCGAGTTGACTTTGACGAGGCCCTCGTGACTCGCTAATGTTTCTTCACATTTCCGTTCAAGTTCCTTAGTTTCGTGTTTTCGCTCATTGACCTCTGTGAACATCTTCTGATTTGCTTCTTTCGCCTCTTTCTTGGTTTTGTCATATAGCAACCTACATTGTGGATTCGTGCACATCTTCTTCAGATCATTAGCTGCAAACGCTCTGTCGCCTTCTTGGAGGCATCCAAGTAGAAGGTCAAGCCACTGCAATTGACCCTCATCTGAGTGAATGCGACCAGGTACAGGTACCTCGTACATATCAGTGATCCCGAGCTGCTTCAATTCATATCTCGCGTTGAGGATGTCTCCGCCAGGAAATATAGCACATAGAGGGACGTGGCCTATTCAATCGAAACATATTCCATGAGTTTACTCGAAATTACGTCCAAAGTCATGATATTTGTATGCCATCTACATATCACACATACTTCACACGTAATAGGCCTCTTTTTGTGTTCGGGGGTGGGGGGGGGGGGGTTGACACAAAGGAATGGAGACAATCTGAAATGCTTTCTCGTCTATGTGTCTTTTTATCAATACTCTCAGTGCCATATAATTCCATGCCATATTTAAGTTGTAAAAAAGAATGGGCAAAATCGAGTGAGAAAAGTAGGGAGGGAGAGAGAGAGAGAGAGAAGGGTGATAAAGGAAGGAGACTGAATATGAGCCGGTGTAAGGAGTGAGTAATGACATAGTACTCATACATTTACAACTATGATAAATGCAAATGAAATCTAACATTCATGGTACGAAATTTAGTCAGGACAATCATGATAGAATAGACGAAATAGATGAAATAGTTCCTGATATTGTTTAACTACAACAACTTCGACGGAAAAAAAGATGAAACATAATTCCATGCCATATCTAAGTTGTAAAAAAGAATGGGCAAAATCGAGTTAGAAAAGTAGGGAGGGAGAGAGAGAGAGAGAGAGAGAGAAGGGTGATAAAGGAAGGAGACTGAATATGAGCCGGTGTAAGGAGTGAGTAATGACATAGTACTCATACATTTACAACTAAGATAAATGCAAATGAAATCTAACATTCATGGTACGAAATTTAGTCAGGACAATCATGATAGAATAGACGAAATAGATGAAATAGTTCCTGATATTGTTTAACTACAACAACTTCGACGGAAAAAAAGATGAAACATGATTGAGAACTCTAAAGATCTGTAGTTAGTGACAATTAATAAATAAATTAATGAATGAAATCAAGACCATGTTGGGTTCGATTGATATAATATCGGTATTTGGTGCAAGCATTGCCACAATTATATTTAACTTTAATCATCCCCATGCCTCGGCTAAAAATTAGAAAGCTGTATCCAGTTCAAGGAAAATGGACATTAAGCCCCAAATTACATGTTATTAGTATACAAGCAGATAACTGTAAGGTATATTTATCTTTTATGCTTAATTTATGTTTCTTTCAAATATAATGTCATAATCGTTTCATGTATTTTGTATGTTCAAATTGTTGACTGTGGATTGTCAGATCGTGGCCTTATGTCTCACACGTAGATCCATGGTCCGATGATTAAAGTCAACCATGTCAACACGGGGGTGGGTATATGTTTTGGGGGAATAGTACATAGTACACACCGTGCCCGTTTCAAATGAATTAACAGGATGGTCTCAAAACACAGTGATTATTCGATTGGTTACCAACCGAGGACATGATATGATATTTGCATGCATATTAAATCTAATAGGAAAAAAAAATCTTGTTCAAGCATTTCAATGGATGGTATGATAATCAAATTAATGGCGAAATAGTGTTATCACATCGGCCTATCATACATATTAACACAGGCCTACACAAGCAGAGGTAAGTATTAACATGCAATTTACGAAGAAAAGAAAAAGTATATAATTTACAAAATGAACGAAAAAGGGGCCTGTAAGAGTCCACGATATCAACGTGATCACAATTAAGAGTGTGTAATTAATATCGATAATATAGAAAACTTAGATGAATACTTGATTTCAAGGTCAAATCATGTACTGTAGCATAATTATTTAACTCTACTCTCGATCTATTTTTCGTTATTTCTTGACTTTGACATAATTCCTTTGATACCTCTTCTTTTTCTTCTTCTTTCCCATCTGTACATACTGCACTCAGTGAGCATTAACTCATTGATGTCTCGATTTGGTATCTTGGGTTTGCCCATATTAGATCGCCCTTCCCAGGCGCGGATCCACGGGGGGGGGGGGGGGGCGACGGGCCCGCCCCCCCTGTTTTTTTTTTTTTTTTTTTTTTAAAAAAAAAAAAAAAAAGGTTTTCGGGGTCAAATACAAAAAATAAATGATGCATACTCCCCCCCCCCCCCCACTGAGCGAGATATTGGTAGGCTCGATTTTCACATTTTCGGGGTCATATACCCCCCAAAAATGATGCTCACTACCCCCCCCCCCCCCCCCCCCCCCTCACTGAGCGAGATATTGGTCGGCACGATTTTCACATTTTCGAGGTCAAATACGAGGAAAAAAATTATGATCACTACCCCCCCCCCCCCCACTGAACGAGATATTGGTCGGCGCGATTTTCACATTTTAGGCCCCCTCTATCGGCAAATCCTGGATCCGCCCCTGGCCCTCCCAAGGATGGGTTGTTCGTGCTCATATGACATATATTTTAACACACACGGTGGCCCGAATTCACAAAGGAGGTTTGTCGACAAACCTAGGTTTTCGTGCGTCATATGACTCGTTTCGGCGCGTTTTTAGAAACCAGGGGGGGGGGGGGGTTTCACAAAGATCCTAAGTTGAACTTATCTCTAAGTTGGACATTATGGAAAGCCGTTAGCATCTATGAAAATATTTTGTAAAGGTTATTTTAAAAGGCATGAAATGTTAATTAAAATCGTTCATATTTTCTATTATCAAGGAGATTTCATGTTCTTGATGTGGAATTTATAAAAAGTCTAAATTACTTGAATTTTTGCTTTTGATTATATTTCATTTCGAGGCTACAAATGGCTTTCCATAATATTTAAGTTCAACTTAGAGTTAACTTAGGTTAACCCCCTGGCTTGTAAAAAACGCGTCCAAACGCGTTATATGACGTACATAAACCTAGGTTTGTCGACAAACCTCCTTTGTGAATTCGGGCCGGTGAGTTTGTTAGCTCACCCGGTGTGATGGGGATGTGCGCATAGTCCGGTATACTTGTTGTGGGCATCCATGCTGTGGTCGATGCATCGTTGGGTAGTTGTTTTCTGAGAGTATTTATTCCATATTTGTTGTTGTATTCATGAATCAGTTATCGTAGTCACACCATATGAGGGGGCCTCAACTTAAAAAGCTGTGCTTCAACCAAGGTCTCCTCGTCTTTCTTTATTCTACATTGTACTGTAATATGATTATACTCTATTATATTTTGTCACATGTGTTTTCTGGAAGACAAATAAACTTGAAACTTGATACTAGATACTTGATTTATTGTATATATATCCCAACTTTCTTAAATTTGACTTCATTGTGTATATTTGGATAGGCCATGTTTTTGTTGTATATCCTTAATTTCTTTCTTTCTCTCTGTTTATGTACAGGGCTTCATGGTTGAACACGATTGTGAATGAGCTACCCTGTTTTTTAAATATGTGAATAATGATTAACAAAAAGAAATTACTTGTAGAAATTTCATTCTGATATAAATTGAGTAATAGTTGTTTTCTTTCATATTCCATTCATTACTGATGAAACATTATTGTGTAGCAGGGGTCATTATCTTTAGATACCTACACATGTAATAACAGTGCATATAACACAAAACACCAGATACGTAAACAAAGTTAAACAACCTACATAATGATTCATGCGTTATAGCATTCTGGCTAGTAACATTATTTATTTAATTAATCATTCTTTTAACTAATACGGTGGTGTAAATCAACGCCTTGTGGTGTATACTGTGTGTATCAACAGTGCAATTTGTATTAATTCAAAATTGTTTAAAGATAAACATCATACGTCTTCACTTTATGATCCTACCTACCATTAAGGATAAGTGGCAAACTCACCTGTATTCCTCTTCATCATCTCGATCCATGCTGGGTAATATTTAATATAAGACGGGCTGAAGATAAAAATAAGAAAATCCACCGATTCAGAATCGTTATCATTCACGTGGTGATGATTGAAGGGTTAATGATATTAACATGATTCTGCAACCCACCCCCACCAAAGGCCACCTCAAAGAAGATAACGTGTATGTATTTGTTATACCCTACACTTATAATAATTGTTCATTGTCTTCTAACACGTTAACCCTATACGCAAACCTCAAGCATATCACAATGAAATTGTTCTCGCTCCGTGGGTACGCTCCATCGAATGTTTGAAGATGCAATGTTTCTCAGCACCGTAAATATTCTGTGTAGAATGGGCGTTGGATGAGTGGGCAGGTGCTTCCATTTATCAATGGATGGGGAAATACTTCTTGCACCTAAATGACAATAAATAATGTTTAGTAAAGCTTTCAGTTATAACAGGTCTGAAATGCAGTTTCACTCTTCTTTCCGTATTGTACTTAAATGGATGCTACGATCCTTTACATTACACACGCACAATAACAACAACAGCAGAAATGATAGGCGCATGTGGCATATACCCTGTCTTTCAGAGGCGTTAAATGCGAGGGCCATTATGTTGCCTTTCAGTAACATGATTAAGGGGACGGCTAAATTATTTATGCCCCCCCCTCCTTGCAGTATAAGGAATATATGTTATCACTGTGAAAAAATACAACGCTGTAACATGCAATTATCTGACTTTTTGTTTGTTTGTTTGTTACATGTACTAGTAATTTATTTTGACCCCCTTAATTAATGAGCACCTTCTTAAGACAGAATTTTCTTTTGTTGAAGACGAAAATGACGTTGATGTATATAATAATAATAATGCCCTTTTTGGCTCCTATAATGTAAAATATTAACATTCTAAATATTTGGTCACTACACTCACTCGCAAACCAGGTGATGCAGTACTGCGTGTACTTTATAAACCCTGTCTCAACAGGCCCCCAAAGTCAAAATTCGGGAAAGTGCTAATCTTTACAAAAGGAGGTAGGAATTTGTTTTTTCTCGTACCTCTCGCTAGACAAGATGATAACATTACACTCATTATTTTGTCCCAACCTCCCCTTCCCTCCTCCGCCTCCCCCCCCTAATTTTTTTTGTTGGAAATTGTTACGTTATCGAGCATATTTCCAAAAACTGTACACTTTATGCCAAAGCCTTGTAAGTGTGCAGGTAGGGGCTTGCCGTATATTAAGTGGAAAGGTAAACTCATGTTTGTTGCTCTGCACGCGTAACAACATTATTATACATGTAATACATCTACAAAATTGCAGTTTATCGACAAA